CCTATTTTACCCTCGTCTCGTTCCCTGGGAACAGCTTTACAGTGTTTGTATAGTGTACTAGTTGGCAGTGTATAGGTTTTGTGCACCATTTATGTAAACTTTTTAAAAAGATAATGTCATGATCATACTAGAGAAGAAATCAATTGCAATTTCTGAATTTGCCCTAATAACATGATTTACTGTGGGACAATGCATGACCCCTGAAGGTTAAAATACAAGATGACACCTGGCTGACAAAATGCTTGTTGACAGGAATGACTGCATTTTGTGAATTTCCAGGGAATCCACTGCCTCTGCATGCAATCACATAGCAGAAGCAAGAGTGGCATGAAGACAGCTTGGGCGGAGCAGGACCTTTCAAGCCACAGGACTCATGTGTTAAGCAAAGCTATGGAGCTGATTAGTCACCAAATAAAACTAATAAATTTTTGGTAGCTCTATTGTTTATGTTTGCAACAACACTGCATTAATTTGCTAGGGCTGTCATGACAGAATACCGCAGATTGAGTGACTATAATAACAGAAGTTTATTTCTTCACAATTCAGTTGATCTTGATTCAAAGATCAAGGTGTTAAGAGCATTAGGGTTTTTTTTTTCCTTATTTTTATTTTATTTTATTTTTTTTAGAGGTTTTCGCTATAGGGCGCATGCACTCGCCAGACAGACAGAGACAGAGAGACAGAAAGGGAGAGATCACCCCCCAGGGGGGATGGTCATGCCACGATCCCTTCTCCTCCATTCTCCTCTTGGGATCTTGGGCACGCACGCACACATGCCCCGCGTGAGTTTTAAGCCCCCGGGTCTGGGATGCGAACTGTGGTCAACTACGTGGTAGTCCAGGGACATAGCCAGTACGCTAACTGCTGGTTCCCAGGAGCATTGGGTTTTTTCCTAAGAACTTTTCTCCTCTGCTTACAGGTGACGACCTTTGCTCAGTGTCTTCACGTGCTCTTTCCTCTGTGCTTATGTATTAATTTCTCTAATCTTAAGGACACCAGTCATGTTAGATTTGGACCTACTCCTGTGACCTATTTTACCTTCATTACTTCTATGAAGGCTTTGTGTCCAAAATCAGTCATGTTTGTAGTACTGAGGGTTAGCACTTCAATGTATTTGTGGAATCAGGAGGACACATGATTTAGTCCACAACAACATGACTGTTAACAGCACTTTTATTTTTGTTTTCAGAAAGGCTCTTGATTTACAACAGAAAAGCAAGCAAATCAATATACAGGGGAAAAAATGGAAATGATATTAGGTACAATGAGAAACCAGAGGTCTTTTGGTGCTCATCAATTAGAAGCATTATGGATTTTTTTTGCTATGACAAGCACTAGGTCTACGATTTAAATATTTGTAATATTCTGGGATTCTTTATTTCTAACAACATAGTCACTAGTCATCATTCAAGCATCAAGACATATAAAGAACATTTCCAATCTGTATGGGGATTTTAGGCTATTAACAGTAATTAAACCATCATTTTGTTATTACATTGCATGTTTACCTTTACAGAAATATATATGTGCATAATGTATGTAACATATGTATGTTACTAATATATTTTAAAAAGATGTGAACCTTTAACTGTATTCAAAGATGTACTAAATCATCAATGAATAGTGAACAGTGTGATATACTAACAGTAATTGCTTTTGTACCAAATTCTGTCTCTGACTAGAGATGCCATGTGGGGTAAACTACCAAGCCTCTTAGTGTTCTCTTTTTTTGGGTAAAATTCATTTGTTGTATTTAGTGTTGTGTAAATTTCCTCTAAAATTTCTCTTTTTTTTTTTTTTGAGATGTTTTTGCTATAGGGCGTGTGTATTCACTGGAAAGTCAGAGACAGAAAGCAAGAAATCACCCCCCAAGGGGGATGGCCACGCCACAATCCCTTCTCCTCTCAGTATTTCTTGACCCTCACATTTCAGTTCTAATTATATGAAGTCTACTAAACTATTTACATGTTTATTACATAAAAATAGGATACTCACAGAGGTGTTTAAAATATAAGTAAACAACAGAAATATTTGGATTTGGATTTGATGGCTTATACATTGAACTCACCAGTTGTACCACATTGGAAGAATCAGATAACTTTTAAGTACTAATGTCAAAGCTATAGGGCGTGTGTATTCACCGGAAAGTCAGAGACAGAAAGCAAGAAATCACCCCCCAAGGGGGATGGCCACGCCACAATCCCTTCTCCTCTCAGTATTTCTTGACCCTCACATTTCAGTTCTAATTATATGAAGTCTACTAAACTATTTACATGTTTATTACATAAAAATAGGATACTCACAGAGGTGTTTAAAATATAAGTAAACAACAGAAATATTTGGATTTGGATTTGATGGCTTATACATTGAACTCACCAGTTGTACCACACTGGAAGAATCAGATAACTTTTAAGTACTAATGTCAAAATTCTTCAGCAAAATGGAACAGTAAAGTGTATATAGATTGAGAAAGAATAAAGTGATAAAATAAACTGAGCTCAGATCTTTAGCCAAAGAGGAAAAATAATGATTGAAGAAAAGATTAGAAAAGAGGGGCTATTCCTTATTCCCTAGGGAAATCTTAGGAAAAGTTTTAGTAACTATTATATTAAAAATGGAAATTCTGAAAGTCACATTAAATATTCCAGGCATGATATTTGAAGTGCTTCCTAACTCTGATTGAATCTGAAAAAAAAAGTTCATGAAAAGTCAGTAAACAGGTTCAAGTTATTTCCAAGAAAAGATAAGTATGGGTGTGGGGATTAATTTGAGGAATCATTCCCAGCTTGAACATATTATTTATGTATTTATTCATTTGTCATTTTTTAATTTTTCAAACTTTGACTGATGGTGCATACACTCAACAGAGAGAGACAACGAGACAGAGGAAGAAATCTTTTGCCCTGGGTGTGTTCACATTGTAATTTCTCCTCCATTTCTCCATCC